GTACCAGGGATCGAACTCTGGACCTTGCGCTTTCGAGGTAGGCGGTGAGCCAGATAGTGTTCTAAGTGCTTTATTGTGTTGTTATTTTTTTGTTTGTTTTTATTTTTTTGTTGTTGCTAGGGATTAAACCCAGTGCCTTCACACTGAGCTACACCCCCAGCCCTTTTTAGTTTTTATTTTTGAGACAGGGTCTCACTAATTTGCCTAGGCTGGGCTTGAACTTGAATATTTCTGCCTCAGCCTCCCAGAGTGCTGGGATTATAGGTATGCACCACCCCACCCGGCTTCATACAGCTGTTTTAATAGTGATTTTTTTTCATTCCTGGTTTCATATACAAGAAAACTGAGGTGCAGATGAGTTGAGAAATATGACCAGGAGCACACTGCTCCAGAGAGTTAGTCACAGCCTTAACCTGGAGCTCACCTGCTTCCTTTTTTGGCATCTGTGCTGGTGGTTGACTGGACTTGATTTATACTATTCTGCCAGTGCTCATCATTCAGAATTAAAGCATCTTCAGGCCAAAGCTGTGATTATTAAGTCCTTGAAGGCCAAGAGTCTACTGTGCTCTAGGTGTCATGTGTAGAATAGGTACTGCGTTACTTCCTTTGATTTCTGACAGGAAAAACTCTAATCTTTTAATCTGCCAAGCTTTTTCTGCTTGTATATGAGGCTTATATGTGATACCGTATATATTCTGTTTGTTTTGGTTTTCGGGGGTAGTGCATATTTCCCCTCAGCCACTGCCTCTAACTCCCGGCTCATATCCTCTTCCCTCAGCCTTCAGGCAGCTGGGACTATAGACTTGTGCCATGCACAGTTGATGTTCCCATTGTTTTTTCACTGTCAAATTCTTGCGCTTCAGAGTTCAGGCCAGAGGGCCGGGGTATAGTGTAACACTTGTCAAGTGTTACCCACATGCTTGAGCCTGTGGTTTCAAACCCTAGTACCACAAAAGGGAAAAAAGAAAGAAAGAAAAAGTCCAGCCCAGATGTTCCCTCTTCTCAAAACTGCCAGTAAATTTTTCTGAGATTTGCATATAGCGCATTTCATTCTATCGTTTATTAAGACTAGGTTTATAGGGCCGGGGATTTAGCTCAGTGGTTCCAGCTCCTGCCTTGCAAGCTCAAGGTCCCGAGTTCGATCCCCGGTACCAAAAAAAAAAAAGATTAGGTTTGTAAGAGCTTTTGTAATGTTTCGAACTTGCTATGTCTTGCTATGTCGCAGAGGCTGACCTTGAACTCATGATCCTTCTGCCTGAGCCTCCCAAGTGCTAGGATTACAGGATGTACCACCGTGCTCAGCTCTGTTGTTTACATTTGTACTTCTGCTGGGGTGTGTTGAAAGCAAAAAGTTTCTCACTCATCTGTTTCCCCCGGGCTACCCTTGCCAGTGATAGGTTAAAATGAGAGTTTACTGCTGTTGTGAGGCTGATTTAGAATGCAATTTGAGTGTCCCTGCTAGATCTTCTTCTGAGCAGCCCATCCTGTTCCTCCCTTTAAAATGTCCAGTGTGGCTAAGCTCTTACCGCATTTTCCCCAGGAGTTCATCCAGTTGTCAGAATGTCTGTGCTAAAAGAAACTGTACTTTAGGAGACCTAGAGAGACTCCAGAATCCTATCTCTGCTGGCCATTTGTCAAACCCTTTCCCAGTACCTTCTCATCCCAGTAGTGTCCCAATGGTCTGCCCTACCCCTGTAGCCAGGGCTTCCTCCCAAGGGTCTGTTCTGACAGGAGATCATCCTTCCTTATCCTGACTGCTCTGGGCCACATGTTGGGTGAATCCATAATGTGACACAAACTTTTCCACTCAGCAGGAGCTCTAGAGTCAGATGAACCTGAATTTGAATTCAAAAATACGTTTGTCGGGCCAGGGATTTACCTCAGTGGTTTTGCCGCCTGCTGCACAAGCGGAAGGACCTGAGTTCGATCCCCAGTACCAAAAATATAAATAAATAAATAAATACACACACACACACACACACGTTTGTCAGCTTTATAACCTTGGTTTCCCTCTTGTGAAACAAGGACAATGAAATATTTGAAATTTCAGTGTTCTAATATATTTAAGCTGCTTGGTACACGGCAAGAATTGTTGTTATTGGGCTGGAGATTTAGCTCAGTGGTGCCGTCGCCTGCCTTGCAAGTGCAGTGTCCTGAGTTTGATCCCTGGTACTGGAAAAAAAAAGAAAAAGAAAAAAAAGAATTGTTATTTTCTGAGTTGAATTTGTGCATACCTTTTCAGAGAGCCCGAGCCCAGTACATTGTACCCTGTACCATATCTCAACTGCTTTCTGCTACTCTGGTTGATGAAGTATTCAAAATTGGGAATGTTGAGATTTCACAGGTATGTAAAAGAATTTCTAGGAGGGTCACTTAATCATAAGAAGACATCCTTTATTTAAAGGTGCATAAATGTTGCTTTAGTTTCCAGGAAAACCAAGGTTTTTTTCCTCCCTGACCTAGGTCACTGTTGTGGGAATAATCAGACAAGCAGAGAAGGCTCCAACCAACATTGTTTACAAAATAGATGACATGACAGCTGCACCCATGGATGTTCGCCAGTGGGTTGACACAGATGTAAGTGGCTATTTTTGTTTTGTTTTGTTTTTTGGGTACCAGGGATCGAACTTGGGACCTTGTGCTTTCGAGGCAGGCACCGGAACCACTGAGCTAAATCCCTGGCCCAAAGTGGCTATTTTTGAATTGGGGTGGGGTTACTTTGGGAATTTGGAGATGTTGAACTTTTTTAATCTTACCTTTTAGAGGTTTTTGTTACATAAAAATAATACATAAGCAAGATATCAAAGGCAAGCTGGCTGTTGTGGCGCATGCCTTTAATCCCAGCACTTGGGAGGCTGAGGCAGGAGGATTGCCAAGAGTTCCAGGCCAGTCTGGGCTACTTAGCGAGTTCAAGGTCAGCTAGAATTGCATGGCAAGACCCAATCTCAAAAAAAAAATCAAAGGCAGAAGCTCTTAAAATGAAAGATTAATAGACTTGACTACATATAAATTTAAAACTTTCTAAACTTCCCAAAATATAAACAGTTAAAAGACAAGTGACAGGAGACAGTAGAATGTACATTCCATGAGAAAGGTACACTCACGTGCATATGTGTGTATTGCTGGAGATTAAACCAGAGGTGCTCTACCATTAAACTAAACCCAATCCTTCTTTAATTTTTTCATTTTGAGTCTGTTTTGTTTCACTAAGTTGACCAGGCTGGCCACAAAGAACTTGAAGTCATCTTTCTCAGCCTCTTGAGTAGCTGGGATTACAGGCATGTGGGACCATACCTGGCATGAGGAGGATTTTTATGTCTTGGACACCACTTTCTCTAGCACCTAGAACAGTGCCAGTCACATAGTGGACTTGAATAAATATTGTCTCCATGAATGTGAAGAATATTTGCATATATTACAAACATTTTAACTCTTAATTTTAAAAAATCTCTACAAAGCAAAAAAATTAAACAACTGTACCTTAGAAAAACCAACAGCTCATAATTCATAAAAGACCTAAGTATAAATGACATCAACTATAACAAAGGCACACTTAGTAAGCATGGAGATTCCATTTTTAATTTATTATGTTGGCAGGGCCGAGGATTTAGTTAGCTCAGTGGTTCCAGTGCCTGCCTCGCAAATGCAACATCCCGAGTATAATCCCCGTTACCAAAAAAAAGTACCCTTCTAATTTATTATGTTGGCAAAGAAAAAAACATGATGATAATTTTCATTCCTGGTAAGAGCAACAGCTTGCACAATGCCTCATAGAATGCACTTAGTAAACATTTGTAGAATGACTTGTCATTGTTTTTCTAAGGAAATGGATACCGTCCAACCATGATAATATGAGTATAAACGGTATAATTTCTCAAAAATCAGTCTGTGTTGAAATCATAAATCATGGGCCGAGGATTTAGCTCAGTGGTTCCGCTGCCTGCCTTACAAGCGCAAGGACCCGAGTTCCATCCCTGGCACAAAAAAAACAAAACAAAAAAACAAAAGGGTCGGGGATTTAGCTCAGTGGTTTCCCTGCCTGCTGCGAAAGCACAAGGACCCCAGTTTAATCCCCGGTACCAAAAAAACCCCAAACAAACAAAAAAGAAAGTATAGCTAAAAATCATCAATCATAAAAATGTTGACCAACAACTCCACTGCTGGAGATTTAGCTCTTCTACTTGTACCTAGCTTTGTGTATATAATTTAGAAATCTTAAGAGAGGTTTCACCAGCATCACTAAGACCTAATGGTATGTTTTTATTTTATGTTAGGACACCGGTGGAGAAAACACTGTGGTTCCTCCAGAAACATATGTGAAAGTGGCTGGCCACCTGAGGTCCTTTCAAGTAAAGTCTGAATAAAATGGCATATGAAATATATTTGCATGAAACAATCTCTAGAGTCAGGTCTGGGTTTAGGATACCTAATAATTAAGCCTCTGTGTTTAATGGGAAGCTATTTCCTTATTCTCTTCTTCAACAGGAAGTAACTGGTTTTTATCTTAATAGAAAAGTAGCAACTGGGCAGGGTAGCACACGCCTATAACCCTAGACTCAGGAGACTGAGGCAGGGAGGGGTATCACCACGAGTTGGAGGCCAGCCTGGGCTACATAGTTCAAAGCCAGCCTGAACAACAAAGCAAGACCCTGTCTCAAAAACCAAAAAAAAGTAACAGGTTGATAGAAAAACAACAAAATCTCTACCTACAGCTAACAACTGTGGCATCCATTAGAGGTAGAAGGGAGAAACTGGATTCAGTCAGGAAGATAGACTCTGCTTGGATTTGGCATTTTGTTTTATTTGTTTGGTATTTGCTTGGTTTTATTGCCCTGAACAAATTGTGGATACCAGAGCTAGTTTGGTTTGTTGGATTACTTGTGAGTTAAAATTTTAGATATGTATATAGCAGACATTTCCCTCATATTGGCAAAATACTATAATCCAGAAAAGAACCCAGTGTTTTGACTTGAATCTGCTCATCTTTTACTTAACGCTTTCATCTTTATTTTAATAGAACAAAAAGAGCCTCGTAGCCTTTAAGATCATGCCCCTGGAGGATATGAATGAGTTCACCACACATATTCTGGAAGTAGTCAATGCGCACATGATGCTGAGCAAACCCAGCACCCAGGTAAGGAGCCTCACTCTCAGAGCTTTTTCCCTTTCCTGGAAGAGTATAGACTGCTTTTGTGCTCTGACTTTCAGTTCCTTGACATTTTTAAGGTTGAGCTAGAAGAAAGGCATCACTCAGTCATCGGAACATTTTCTCCATGAACCTTGTATTTGTTCCAGATGAAGCATTAATGTTTCTCTCATAATTAGGAGTTCCTCTGCATGGTGGTGCACGCACCTGTAATCCCAACACTCGGGAGGCTGAGGCAGGAGAATCACTGTGAGTTTGAGGCCATCTCGGGCTATGTAGTGAGTTCAAGGCCAGCTTGAACTACATAGCGAGACCCTATACAAACACAAAAAAGAAAAAAAGAAAAGAATCATGAGTTCCTGTGACCCTCTGTCATAGATGGCTGAGGCCTAAGACAACTTTCAGGTAGACACATAGGTTGAGCCTGCAGCTCCAAAATTATCAGTCCATAATCAGAGGGAAATCTCAAATAGGGTGGCATTTTGGTGCTTTTCTTCCAAGCTATTGCCTAGTAGGAAAAACCGTACTATTATTTTTCCTTGAAATTATATTTCTTGGTCCATGTTGAAATTTGTCCAATTTTCTGTTGTGTGAATTCACTTTGGCAAGTCCCTCTAGGACTACTCAAAGCATTGGTCAGTTCTAGTATTAGGAAGTCCTCAGATGATTTGGAGTAGCAGAGACTGGAGAACGGATAAGCCAGTAAGGGTACCAACACATTCTACTCTGTGCACACACTTTGGTAAGCACCGAGAATACAGACAAATTCATTCATTTCTCTGTATGAGAAATATTCATTGAGTCCACTGTGTATTGAAGATTACTCTGACCACTTGGAATATAGCAGTGAACAAGTAAAGTATCTGCCTTCAATCTATGCTTGGGAGAAACAGGCAACAAACAAGACACAAATATATAGGCTCAGGGTGGTGGTGCACGTGTGTAATCCCCCCTCTCTGGGAAGCTGAGTCAGGAGGATGGCAAGTTTGAGCCCAGCCTGAGCAACTTAGTGAGTTAGCAAGACACCCTGTCTGAAAAAATAAAAAGTAAAAAAGGGCTGGGGCCAGGGATGTAACTCATTGGCACAGAGCCTGCTGGCAAGCACAAGGTCCTGAGTTCTATCCCTGGTACAAAAAAACCTAAATCCTTGGCCTAAGGTGCTTAGAGTGAACTACTGCTTTTTTTTTCTTTTTTTTTTTTTGGTACCAGGGAGCGAACTCAGGACCTTGTGGTTGCAAGACAGGCAGAGGGACTGGATTCAATCCCCCATGCTGCCAGAAAAGAAAAGAAAAGTATATAATTTCAGGTACTTAGGTGCCCAATGGCGGGAACAAAATGATGCAACTTCAGGTAGGGGAAGAACAAGGGGACAGAAGTACAAAACCCTGAGGCTGGACAAGCGTGGCATCTCTTGAGACAAGCAGGAAGGTGGTCAGAGTAGGGTGAAGCGAATGACAAGGAAATGGAGGAAAGGTCCTAGCAGAGATGCAGGGTCCACAGTGTGTGGGGCTTTGTAGGCCAGGGCAACATTATTCTGATCCTAAGCTTTTGGAAAGTTTCGACTGGAAGATGATAAATCATCTAGTTTACCATGTATTTAAACAAGTTCACCTGGCTGCTCTATGGACAGTCCACTCTGAGGCACCTAGGATGGCAACAGAAGTCATTCAGAGGAATGGTAGCTGCAGCTGGGGAAAGAAGGGGTTGACTCTATGTATTCAGTAGGTAGAGCTGACAGAAGTGCTTTGTGGATTAATTATAGGATGTAGAGAAAAGGAAGGGCTCCAAATGACTTCTGAGTTTGAGGCTTGAACAGCCAGATGCAGCTAGCACCTGTGGAGAGTAAAATCCAGAGCTCTGTTTCAAACTTCCCATGTACTAGATGCCACTTAGACATCCAAGTGCACAGATGATTGTAGAACCTGTGGCCTCAGGGAGAAGGCAGGCTAAAGGTGGAGCTCTGGCAGTCATTTTCCTTTCTATGGCATTTAAAGCTTTGGACATAGGGCGTTCAGAGGGGAGAGATCTGAGCTCTGGGACACACTAAACTTTAGAACCCTGCAAGCCAGAGCAGTGCCACTGAAAGTCAGGATTTGTTAGCTAAGCAGGAAAACCAGGAAGCGTGATTTTGTAAAATACTATTTGTCAGGTTGGGTTTTTGTTTAGTTTAGAGACAGGGTCTTGCTGTGTAGCCCAGCCTGGCCTCAAACTCATAATCCTTCTGCCTCATTCTCTGTGGAATTACATGTGTGCTCCAGCACACACCAGTATATCCACCTTTTTTTGTTTTTGTACTGGGGATTGAACTCAGGACCTTGCACTTGTGAGGCAGCCTCGGTCCCACTGATCTAAATCCATGGCCCCCTTTTTTTTGAGATAGGGTCTTAACATACAGCGCAGGCTGGCCTGAATTCCTGGACTCAGGTGATCCTGCCTTGGGCTCCTGAGTAGCTGGGACTATAAGTATGTGCCACTCTGCCTAGCTTTGTAGAATATTCTGGAAAGAACATTTCAAGGGAGAGTAGAGAGCCAGGCATGTTGGCACACACCTGTAATCCCTGTGAAGCACTCTGTGAAGGGAATTGTTTAGGAAAGTGACATGGAAACAGTGCAGTGGGAGCTGTGATAGGGAATGAGCAAAGGATAAAGCTGAGATAGAAGAAAATTACTAACTTGCCTTGGGAAATGTCAAGGGAGACTTCACAAGGCATTGCCACTTAGGTTGAACTTGAAAGGATGAGGAGAGATTAAATGGACTGTAGGGAACAGGGGAAGGGGACGTTACCAGAACCTCTGCAGTTAGTCCTGGTCTCCTGCGAGCCACGGCAGCACACGGCGAATTACAGGAAAGGTAGAAAAATGAGACTGAGAAGAAGCTGAGCTTTGGGTCTGATCTGTGCTGCTCTGGGCAGCAAAGACAAAAGCCCCCAGCTTACCACACCTTTGTAACAAATGACTTGCAGAGAATTCAGTACATGGGGAGAAACAAATGTAACAAATGACTTGCAGAGAGTTCAGTAGTTCACATTGGGATAAACAAGGTGTAACAAAAGGCTTGCAGAGAGTTCAGTACATCTCGGGTAAACAAGATGTTAACAGTCCAAGAACAACGAGGGAACTGAGCAGATGTTTGTTCTCCCAGGATGTTTCTTGTCCTGGAGAATCACAGCATCACTGGATCACTGAAGTCTCAGTTGTGACCAGAGGCCAAACTGGAGTTATTCTGTAGCTGGGCTGTAGGCAAGAGAACTAGGCTAACCAAATGATTTTTCCCTAGAATTATGTAGCAGTGCTCCCAACAGTGGACACTGGGGGAGTAGAGTGCAATAAAGTGTGCTCAGGAATAAATATGCTCCTGGCGTGGTGGCGCACACCTGTAATCCCAGCACTCAGGAAGCTGAGGCAGGAGGATAAATGCAATTTCAAGGCCAGCCTGCACTACAAAGTGAGACCTTATCTCAAAAAAAAAAAAAAGAAAAGAAAAGAATAAATGCAGACTTTGACTTCTAGTCCTGGTAAGTCTTGATTGTCTAGCTATTTTATATTTTCACAGGCAGAGGGAGCCACTTGAGTCCCTTTAAGTAGTGACACGATCATAGCAGGTTATGCTTTGTAGCAATGGTGGAGGCTGACTGGAGTTCAGGTGACAATATAGAGGCTGAGGTACCAGTTGGGAGACCAAGAGTGAAGAGGATCATCAGTAAATGCTTGAGACCATTACAGCAGAGATGTGGGTAATTTTCTTTTCTTTTTTTGTACCAGGATCAAACTCACTACCTTGTGCTTACAAGGCAGGCGCGGTGCCACTGAGCTAATCCCCAGCCCAGGGTAATTTTCATAGTAATACTTTCCCCTAAATTTCTCTCATAAGACAAAGAAAAAAAGGAACCAGAAGTATCTTCCTTTTTTTTTTTTTTTTCCTTTCTTTGAGACAGGGTCTTGTGGAGCCCAGGCTGGCCTTGAACTCATGATCCTCTTGCTTCATTAAGCCTCCCAAGTGGCTGGGATTACAGATGCAGGCCATCACACCTGGCTCTTCTTTTTTGGGGGGCAGGGTTTACCGGAGATCGAACTCGGGTCCTTGCGCTTGCACAGCAGGCAGTGATGGCTCTTCTTTTTTTTGACATAATGTGCCTGAGAGGGTTACTTTACCTTACTATCAAATTCTCATTAGATAGTATCTGTCCTCTCCCATCCAGGTCATCATAATAGGAAAACTCTTTGCTTAACTTCTTAGCTGCTTATTCGTGGTAAGTTATTTGAAATAGCAAAGGCCCGCCTGCATCATGTTTAACTTGGTGAATTTTCTAATGTTATGAACTTATTTCTTAATTCAGCCCTCAGCAGGGAGAGCATCTATCAGCAACCCAGGAATGGGTGAACCAGGAAACTTCAGCGGGAACAGCTTCATGCCAGCCAATGGCCTCACCATGACCCAAAACCAGGTAAACTGAGTGGCTCCTTAATTGCAAAAGACAGACAGTAGTAAGTTTTGTTACTTCTTTAATGATCTAAGACTACTTTAATGCCTGGCTCCTTTCTTTTCTTGTAAAGGGACTCAGATTTGCAAAGGGGAGTTAGTTGATTCAGAGTCATTGCTACAGTCTTTCTAATTTGAATTGCCAGGTGCTGAATTTGATTAAGGCTTGTCCAAGGCCCGAAGGATTGAACTTCCAGGATCTCAGAAGCCAGCTCCAACACATGCCTATAGCCTCAATCAAGTAAGTTTTTCTTTCCATGAGCCAGGTTTTCACAATTGTATCTACCAGTCCACCCCTCTAGGGGTTCCTGATAATGAAAAGTAAGTTTAAAAGGAAAGCTGGATCTGTTGCCAGAAGGGAAGTTGTTCAGAAACATTTAAAAGGACTCACAAAGATGGTGCTACCCATTACATCACTCATTCATTCGCTCATTCCACAAGTACTGAGTCCCATTATGTGTGGAGAATGTGATTCTCAACAGAAATTACCCTGATAGGGCTGGGGATTTAGCTCAGTGGTTCTGCCGCCTGCCTCACAAGCACAAGGTCCCGAGTTCAATCCCCGGTACAAAAAAAAAAGAAAGAAATTGCCCTGATACTTCATGGCCTTTGTTCTGGAGGATGCAACCCCTAGCTCCTGGTCCTCATGTGTATAGCAGTGTTGCTCTCTCCACCATGATAGAAATACATCAGGCTCTCTGTACCCAGAACCATTAGACAACGCTTACATCTTGCCCTGATTCCATGTCAGCGGAACAAACTAATTAGACAAACTAAGTATGATGGTACTCATGATAGCTGTTACTGTAAATCAGTTGATATTCTAGGCCTTAGTAGAAAAGAAATGCTCAAGTTTATTTCCAGTTCCTGTCCTATAAAGGGAGGATAATAATTCCTGTCTCAGAGTTACTGTGATGCTCAGGTACAGAACTCCCATCATGTAGTAGGGTTCTGGCTGTTATTAAACATGCTGATCTTGAGGACCTTGGAGGGTTTGAAGGTGTCACACTCTCTGAGCTACCTTTCCTTTACTTCCTGAAACCTTACTGCCCAGGGGTAGAGCAGAAAGGATCTCAGTGTGTAGGTGGGAAGGGGAGACTTAAAGATTCTGCATTGTTTGGAAAAGACCCTTTTTTCTTTCTGTCTTTCTAGGCAAGCTGTGGATTTTCTTAGCAATGAGGGACATATCTATTCTACTGTGGATGATGATCACTTTAAATCTACAGATGCAGAATAACTGGATCTCATGAGTACCTGAGACATTTCTGGCTGGACCTATTTGCACGGTCTGTTGCTCCAGAGATGCATATGTTTGGCCAGGTGACTCCTAAGAAGGAAGTTCCATCTATAAAAGATCTCAGTTGACTTCCTTTTTTTTTTTTTTTTTTTTTTGGTACCGGGGATCGAACTTGGGACCTTGCGCTTGCGAGGCAGGCGGCAGAACCACTGAGCTAAATCCCCGGCTCAGTTGACATCCTTTGAAACTCAGTGCTCTTCTGTTTTTTGTGTTTTGAAGCAAAAGGAAGATGGGCAAATTGACAGAGATGTAAACCAGGGTGGCATTTCTTAGAGAAGTTCAGGATAGATGAGACTAGAAGAAAACTACCGAGAGAGTTAGGCAGTATTGCTCAGAATTTTTTGTTCTTTAAAAAAAATGCTTCCTGTTGAGAGAAGATGAGCAGGACTAGGGCTCATGGGCATAGTGCCAACCAAGGAACCCACTCCCCCACACCTGGTTTTGTCTCTTGCTCTGGTTCTGTGTCATTTTTCAGAGTTGCACTTTCTTTGTCCTTGTCTTGCCTGTTGCTGAAAGCAGGTTTATGTGAACGTGAGGTTAGGAGATGCTGGCCTCACAGGACAGAGGAGAGGAAGAAGTGTTACTGCATTTTGTAAAAGTAAATATATCCATATTTTAATAAAACAGTTGTATTATTGCAATACCTTGTGAAAATGCTCTCCTTTTTCTTTCTAAACTGGTCTGATTGCTACTTTATCCTCGGACGCAGTATGGCATAGTAAAATTTGGGTTTGAATCCAAGTTAGGATCTTGAGCAGGCTGTGTGAGCTCTGAGCTTCCATCTCCCCATGTAAAACCTGTTTTCTCAAAGTTTTACTGTGAAGATCGACTATAAGATCTGTAAAGCATATGGCATTACCACTAATAGTGACTGGATAGTGGACCTTAGCGTTGCTCCTTTAGCAGTGTCACCAATTGACTGGCTGCACTTTGTTCTCGGGTATGACTTTCCAAAAGGCCTGTGGCTGTTTTCTGGCCAACTAGATCAGTTCTTTTTCTTATGGAAGAAGAAACTAGTTCAAAGATGGTTTTAATACAGGTTGTTCCTTTTGCTTTTTTTTCTCTTTGTTTTTTGCTTTTTTAGACAAGGCCTTGCAGTGTAGTCCAGGCTGGCTTTGAACTCATAGTCCTCCTGCCTCTGCCTCCCAAATGCTGGGATTACAGGTATCTGCCACCATGCCTGGCTCCCAAAGATGTTTTGACAACTCCAGAACATAAGCTACATCTTTTTTTTTTTTTTCATTTTTTTGGTACCAGGGATCGAACTCGGGTCCTTGCCACTTGCACAGCAGGCGGCGAAACCACTGAGCTAAATCCCCGGCCCTATAAGCTACATCTTGAATGAAAGAACCAATTTTGAGATAAAGCTAATGAGGTATAAGAGGCAAATAAGAACTATATCTGCTTCATCTGTTTCTAAATGAGATCTAGCAGCTCTTTGGGGAAGGCTCCATTCCACCCCTACCTCCAGTTTCTAACTGAACATCCAGCTACTTTTCTTTACATGCAAAGTAATGTATATCTGAGAAGTTATGCAAAAGTTTAAAGCTCTGTCAGCCAGTATGTTATTTGTAAATGTCCATTCCTGGACAAAAAAGAGCAGTTGCTAAAAACAGTTGAATTTCGAATGTATGATACAGTACTTTTATGGGTGGCAGACTTCTCTTTTATGGGTGGTATCAAGCTAGTGACCAGATGATGAGTAGAGCTGTAGCAGTGGCTCTGGGTGCAGGTCTTTTCTTTTTCCATAAAATTCAAATGATTAATGATTTAAAAATTACCTACCATGGGGCTAGGGATTTAGCTCTGGTTCCATCACCTACCTCGAAAGCACAAGGTCCCAAGTTTGATCCCCGGTACCAAAAAAGAAAATTACCCACCATGTGTGGTGGTGCACAACTATCATCCCAGCAACTTGGAAGATTGAAGCATGAAGGTTGAAAGTTTAAGGCCAGCCTGAGCAACTTAGTGAGACCCTGTCCTAAAAAGGGCTGGGGATGTAACTCAGCGGTAGAGCAATTGCCTAGCATGTAAAGCTCAGGTTTCAGTCCCCAGTACTCCAAAAAATAAGACTTGTTAATTCAGTAAGTGTGTATGGAATACCAATGTGTCAACACATTGGTCAGGTACTGAGGATTGAAAGCACAATAAGAAATTAGTGTCACAAGGGCCGGGGATTCAGCTCAGTGGCACCATGCATGCCTCAAAAGCACAAGGTCCTGAATTCGATCCCCAGTACCAGAAAAAACAAAACAGATTAGCGTTACAGCAATTGCTGGTGCACAGAGCAGCTGCATGTTGGTACTGACTTCCCTGCCACCTTGGCATTTCACAGTCTCAGGAGTACCATGGTTTCTGAGCACTACAGGCATCTGGGGGCTAAGCATGGGCAAGAGAGCCAGCCAGACCACTCAGCAAGACAACTGCCTTCACACAGCTGCTATGTGCAGATGGAAGAACTTGCATCTGGGCATTTGTGGTCACTTGGTTATGTCCAGCGTATGGTATTCTGCTGAGACACTGGGAACAGCAGTGTGACCCAAGTTCTTAGAAACTACCCAGTGCAACACAGCAAGGGCCCAGCCTGTTCTCAGGAGAATCCTCTTATGTCTTTAGGTGGAACTGAAGCTCCTTGAGAAATAGTACTTTATTGGGCGTAAGCAGAAAAAGGTTGGTAGGAATTAACGTTTAATGTGGATTAATAGGTTCCTTTAAATGCAATTGGAGCAGGTATGGCAGCACACACTTGTAATCCTAGCACTCTGGGAGGCTGAGGCAGGGGGATGGTGAGTTCAAGTCCATTCTGGGCAATTTAGCAAGTTAACAAAACCCTGTCTTAATATATAAATCATATGTATATGAGAAAAGGACTGGTTGTAGCTCAGGGCAGAGGCTCTGGGTTCAGTCCCCAGTACCAAAAACAGAAAAAAAACAGTTGATTACACAGGTAAGAAAAAATGAAGAAGAAAGAAGGGAAATGAAACTCATAAAGTTTTGAGTAAGCATCCTGTCTTAGTTACTGGAACTAAATACCCAACACCCACAAGTTACAGGAGGAAAGGTTTATTTAGCTCACAGTCTGTAGGTTTCAGTCCATAGTTGGCTGGCTCCAAGGCAGGGCGGCCTGGCAGGGGAGAAACAGGCAGGCAGGGAGCAGAGCGGGAAGAGGGCTAAATACCCTCCCAGGCCACATCCACAGTGACCCACCTCTTCCCCTGAGACTTCACCTCCCAACATCACACCTGGCTCTGAACCCATCAGTGGACTGATCCAGTATCACACACGATCCAGTCACCTCCTAAGAGCCCCTCCAGTGAGGGCATCAAGTTTTGGGGGTCATCTAGACATAAATCATAATACATCCCCACTTTATATTCATTTGTTCAGCCACAGTTCACTATGTAGTTCAGGGGGCCTTAGACTCACTATGTAGCCTAGGCTGGCCTCAAACTCGAAGCAATCCTACGTCAGCCTCCTTTGAGTCCTGGGATTACAGGCAAGTGCCACCACGGCCTGCTTGTTCAGCACTTATTCACATATGTTGTTCTATTAATATGTCACATTAGAAAACATTAAAAAATAGAAATAAAATATATTAAAATGAATATGGAGGGAAGTACTAATCCTTATCTTCTGTTTTCAGTGGTCATCCTGTGTACTCCAAGAGGGGTGCTCCTCACTTCTCAGCCCCACTAGGACACCCTCCCCACCCCATCCCCAGGTGCTTATTCCAGGGGTAAAGAAAACAAAGGAACAGGGCCAGGGATTTAGCTCAGTGGTTCCAGTGCCTGCCTTGCAAGCGCAAGGTCCTGAGTTTGATCCCCGGTACCAAAAAAAAAAAGAAAGAAAACAAAGGAACAGGCACCCTGAGAACAGTATCTGCCTCTGGTTGACTCACCACCAACCCCTAGAGTTCTCTGTGGTTTTCAAATATGTTTTCCATTTAAGCCCAGCTTTTGCTACTGAGAAACTGCTCTTCACACTGCAGCATTTGGTTCCTCAGCCCATGCCGTAGGACCTCTGCCCTCCTTTTGTTCTTTGTTACTTGCTCAACGTTGTGCCAAGATTGAATGCGAGTGTGGAAGTGAAAATGCATTTTGCATGTAGGGGTTCTGTGCCAAAGAGGAACTTTCTGTCCTTGTTCAGACTTCTTTTCTTCAAGGTAAGGTATGATCTTCCTTGGGGTCTTCCTATGAGGTGCAGATTGATTTCTCTAGAGGAGGATGTGGGAACTGGGCAGATGAGGGTGCGGTGCCAGTGCGGGGTCCTGGGCCTGCAGCCTGCCATAGCCAGCCAGGAATCCCCAGAGAGCTCCACATGGGAGGAGCATGGAGGCCTGGAGACCTGGAAAGCCAGTGGGTCCAGGCACCCAGAGAGCGGCCCGGGAAGGGGTCACACCAAGACATAGAGCCTGGAATCCAGGAGCTGGAGAGCTGACCTCTTTCGGCGCTCACCTCAACTGGAGACTCATCATCTTTTTGGCTCTCCCATCTTCACTGCTGACCTAATGCTAAATTCCATGTTTCAGTCACAAACCAAAGTCCCAGCACTTTCAGGAAATGGCAGCCTTGTGGAGCAGGTCTAGCCTAACCTTGGAAGTTGAGTTAACCTCTACAAGGACAAAGGTTTCCATTTGTTCCTTCTCTCAGCTGTACTGGACAGTGGGGCTCTCCAACCAGTCAGTGCACCCTCTCCACAGTCTAGGCACAGGGCGTATTTTAAACACGGGACAAGTTCATGAGTAGGAGACAGTGGACAGGTGTGGAAAGACGATACTTTGGAGACAGACACAGTTGTATGATCTTGGCCAACAATAACAACACTAAGATGTTTACCATGTGCCAGGTACTGCTACATGCTTTATAAAGATCTCATTTGATCCTCAAGTCAGTCTTCTGAGGTAGATAACTTAGCTGTTTGTGTTTGCTGCACTGGGGATTGAGGGGAGAGGCATGTACCACTGAGTTGGATCCCCGGCCCTTTTTATTTTGAGACAGGCTGGCCTTGAACTTGTGATCCTCCTGCTGCCTCAGCTTTCCAAGTGAACTTAAATGATATTCACATAGAAGCTCAGGCATCATCTTTTTTTTTTGAAAATCAGCGCAGACTTCATTTATTGTAAAAGTTTGGCAAACAGCACAAAAATCCAGCAACATTTTAAACATGTAAAAATGTTAAACAGTACTGGGGATTATTTTAAAACATCATTAAAATAACGAGTACACATTTAAGATTCTGCAAAGCTAGCCAAATGAAAGTGCCTGGCTTCTGAACAGATACCACAAAACTTTACATTTTAAAAAACAACATAATTTATCTGCAAAAATTACAGCCAAGCAATAGAAAAAAGACATCAGATGAAGGAATGAGGACCCATGTTCACCACACAGACCTTACACATGGAAATGCTACATCCTGTACCCAGAAATGCCATGTTCAGAGAGCCACACAGTGGGAACCAGGCTCGCCACTGAGGTTAAGAATATCTTCGAATCAGTAATGCTCAATTAAAACTTTCTCTACAGCAGTTCTTAGATCCTAACCAGGTATTCCACCCTGTATCTGAGAAACTTTCTGTATAGCAGTTCCTAGGTCTTTACAAGGTGTACCACCCTATGTCTGAGATTGAGACTTCTTTGTTGACAGTATAAAATTTCTGACCAGTATCAAAATTCTGATAAAACACAAACTGAAGAAAGGCTTTTTCTAGTGTATGTAGATGAGATGGGGCATTAATGAATGTGGAAGAAAATTCAAGATTTTATAATAAATTTCTGCTGAGCTTTTTTAAACCAAATAGCTCAACTATAAGGCAAGAGAAAATAACCCCATCTAACTCAGTATTGGGTCTCACAAGTAACAGGAATTCAATCTTAGGGAAAAAACTATGTGAACTGCTCTGAAACAGCTGACATTGAAAGAAGCATCTAGAAATTAACATGTTGATATTCAGTCATTGGTTCAGAAGCCCAACAAACAATCTATTGGTTTATATATACACATGATTTGTATATAACCTACTAATATTTCTTTTGTTGTTGATTTTGTACTGGGAATCGAACTCGGGACCTTGAGCTTATGAGGCAGGCAGCAGAACCACTGAGCTAAATCTCCGGCCCAAATCTATTGGTTTTAATATTAATTAACATTTGGAATCAGCACCAGTCCCCAAAACCTCAAATTATAATATGCAATCTTCATTGAATACATCCTTTTTGCACTATGTAAACACAACTATAATCAAGTTTTTAAAAGCTGAATTTAGAGCCAGGGATTTAGCTCAGTGGTTTCACCGCCTGCTGAGCAAGCGCAAGGACCTGAGTTCAATCCCTGGTACCAAAAAAAAAAAAAAGCTGTATTTATTCAATTTATTGCATATTTTTGTGATAGTGGGTAGCAACTTAAATTCACTGACTTGTGCTTCTGTTTTGGGTTACTTTGAAGAGAAATTCATTTCACAGGCTCACATCTTGCTAAAGCATTCCTTAGCATTGGTCCAAACTTGAATTCATTCCCTTTTTGCACATACTGATCTGCATGACCAAGTAGCTTATGAGGGCCTCCTTTAAGTCATGGTTCTCCTGTTCTTTGAAGCGTTCAATATCAGCTGAAGCATTTTTCACAAATTCTCTGCCTTCCAGATTTTTAGTCTTTAGCTGTTGTTCCCCTTCACTGATTTATTCTTCTAGCATCTTTATTCTGGCTTCTCTCTGCTCTGGGGCTTCTTGACCAAAGAGCTTGGTGGTCATTCCTTTCAAGAACACAATACGGACACATGGTGTCTCTCAGTAAAGCAGGCGAGCCCCGCAGGATGGCCCCCGAGGCAGGTTTCTCACTCCCTAGAGCTCTCTTCATGTGCAGGAGTAGTCAACCAAGTGTCCTGAAAACGGTCTGGGGACGTCCAGAGATTCAGGAAAAAATCGCAGGCATGGTCAGACATCATCTTTATTCCACTGCTTTAGAAAAAAAGCACTCTTAGCCCCTCACAGTTTTATCAATGTCTTAGCACCACTAGAGGAAACCTGCCAGTTTCTGCAGTTCTGGGTCTCTGTAAGGTTCTTTGTAAACTGGCTCCCTGAGTTCCAGCACCAGCTTTTGAGATTCAAAGCCCTGAGATTCTGCTCTTGAAGCCAAATTCCCCATTCGTTTGTGCAAGTTCCATTTACTAAGAGCTGATTGTGTTCATGTGCTGGGCGCTACAGAGATGAGGACGAGCCAGGAAGGCAGGAGCAGGAGAGAGGCCAAAGAGGGTGGCAGACATATAAAGGGCTCTCAGCACAGTGTGATCAGGACCAAGTCTCTACCAGAAGCCAGCTGGCACTAGGGTTGGTGGCCTCTGTCTTCTTCGTGTCCACCATTACTGGGACACCGGAGGGATGCAAGATTGAGCAGAACCCAGCAGGCTCCTCTGGACACCAAAGCTCTGAGGCTGAGGGAGTCACGTGCAAGGTCCCAACATCCCAGCCCCCCAACCAGTAGTGGGGACCTAGAACCCACAGGAAGCCAGTGCAGTGTCCACCCCATTTCAGTTCCTTTCCACATCTGAGTCTGATTTCTGTGAGATTCATCCACAGCCTTTTAGAGGCCCGCAAGGGTTGTCTGGTATCCTGAATCCCAGAGAAGCAGCAGTTGGGAAGCACAGCTCCCCCAACACCTAGATGGTTTTCTGAAAACGCTCAAGTACATCCTCATAGTCATGTTCAGCCATATCTGCATGAGGGTCCAGGACAGAATGGGGATGTGGCACGTTGTTAGGGTGCCTGCCTACCAAGAGTGGGGCCCTGGATTCAATCCCCAGCACTGCAAAAAGAGAAAGAAAAGTCCAGTCAGTGAGACTCTTTGGCATTAGGCAAGTTCCTTCCCCTCTTTAATTTCCTCACCTGTAACAGGGAAGGAGTTGGCCTGGATGCTTTAAAGTCTTTGCTAGCCTAGAAACCACAATTTGTTCTCTCTGAACACTGCAACCCTTTCATTGCCCTGGATGCCGTGGAAAGAGAAGGGTGTTGGGGATTGAACTCATTTCTTTGCCAGCCCTCTGGAGCCCATGGGAGAGAGACTAGAGCCCTTTCCATCTGACCCAGCCTGTTCAGCCTTTCCTTCAAACTGAGATCACAGAAGAGTCTCGGGCAGGACCATCAGAGGCAAAGGGACCAGCAGGGGGCAGGAGAAGGGAGGGAAGAAGCAAGGACAGGGCTGACAGGGCTGAAGGGACTCACCTGGGTCTTGTGTTTGGGGCTTCATGGCCCTGAGGACCTTCTTCTGGGGAGAAATCTTGCCGTATAAGTTCTTGGAGACCTCTGGCAAAGTCTTTGCCTTGGGTTTGGGCGGCAGAGGGGACTGGTGCAGTCCTAAGACTTGAGAAGACTTTGGGAGAAAAGGCAGAAATCAACAAGGTCCCAAGAAAGAGCAGCAGAGTCCATGAAGCATTATTTACCTACAATGTCCCTTCCTCAGCTTCTCTTCTACTTTCTTTTCAGGGTAGGGCTTCTCAGGACCCTGGGTGGTTTTGCTAAAAGCACATGAACTATTCCTTGGCAGGAGAGAAAAAGGTCAGGGTGGGGGATATAGATAGGGTTGAGAGTGCTTGTTTTGGCAGCACATATACTAAAATTAGATAGGGTTGAGGGCTAGAGAGAGGGCATCCCTGGATTCTCCATTTAGGGGCCTGTGAATTTCCTTTAGATCTGTTGCTGAAGCAGGGAAAGAGACACCTCAAGGAAGCATTTACCGTGAGTGTGAAGCCAACCTGAGCTACATAGTGAATTCAAGGCCAGCCTGAACTACATACCAAGACCCTGTCTCAAAGAAAAACAAAAACAAACAAAAAACCACACAAAAATTTAAAAAAAAAAAAAAAAAGAAAGCAGTCACAAAGCCTCCAAACAGAGAGCTAGGGCTCCCAGGAGGAAGAGAAAGTTTCTGGAACTCTTACCACATGCCATGCATGTCTGATCAGTTAATCCTCAAATGACCCTCTGAGGAGGGGTTTTAGTTCCAATTTTCAACATATGAATGAAGAGAGTGTGCCTTATCACACATACCCCATCCCCACCTGGGTGATCCATAACTAGGCTAAGATTTGGGCCCAGGGCCACATCTGAGACCCCTGAGGCCAGTGTCTCCAGCACACCATACTTTAGAAAGCAAAAGGGGCCACTCTCCCGGTCAGCATGGAGAATTGATGCCCAGAGAGAAAAAGGTGCTGTTCAGGGCAACAGCAGTGACTGGATCCAAAGTCACTCCATCTGCAGCCAGGGCTGGGACTGAGGACTCTCAGTTCGTTGTGCTGTGTCCTTTCCTGCATTGTTATGGGCCTGTTTCAGGGCCCCAGCCTGGCAGAAAGTGACTATCCCTTCTACATTCCATGGAGATGAGCTGAAACTGTTCAGGAGTCATCTTTTTAACTTCGATCCCATACTTCTCCCTACACAGTGCTAAATACGGAGTCTCCCAAAGTCACCAAACAGCATGCCTGTGATCATTTATGAAGCTTTTCTATCCAGCACACCCATTCTCAGCAGAGAACAGGCTCCATGGTCAGATTTCAAAGCCTGGACCTGCCACTTCCTAGCTGTGTTAGCACAGATGAATTTTGCCTCTCTCTGCCTGTTTTCTCAGCTGAAAAAAGAGAATATCAATGCCTGATGCCTACCTTGGGGGCACGGTGAGAGGAGCTGGGAGAGCACACACAAGGGGCCTGCTTCAGAAGAAGCACCTAATAGGAAGCAGGAGACACAACAAACGCACATTAGTGAGGTCGCCTCACGATGCACAGATGACAGACGGTGTCTAGAATGTAAACGTGGTCTTTCTGACTCCTGGCTCTTTCCCCACAGCCGTGATTCCTTTTAGCTCAGTTCAGTGGAGCTCACTGGCCTTAGAGCAGGTGGAGTCTCTTCCCACCCAGCTCTTCCTAGTCAGAAAGAGACTAAGCACAACTAACTGAAAATCATGTGCCCGGGCGAGGGACAAGTGCAGTGGGAAGATGGACAGAGAACAGCTCCACAGAGGCTCTGTATGTGCAAGGAGCCAGACAGGAGTCTCGGGACCTGAGGGATCTTCAGGAGCTCCTGTGTGGCTGGAGCAGAGCCTGCAGAGTGAGTAGCAAGAGGTGACCCAGGGAAGACAGCCTGGAGCCAACTCATACAGGACCCTGACACCACGTGGAGCCACTGAAGGTTTCAGCACATGGAGCCAAGGCCCAGCAATGATCAGCTATAGGCAAGAGTTGACTGAAACGGTGTAGGTGAAAAATGCTGAGGCTTAGCTGAGTGCCTTAGCACATCCCTGTGATCCCAGCACCCTGAGAGGCTGAGCCAGGAGGATCACAAGTTCAAGCCCAGCCTGGACAGCTTAGTGAGATCCTTTCTCAAAGTAAAAAAATAAAAGGAGGTGGGGGCTGGGGATGTAGCTCAGTGTGCTGGTCCTGGGTTCAATTCCCAGTACCACCACATACACACACACAAAACAAACAAAAACAAAAATAACAAAAACAAAAGCAACAAACTCAGGGGTAAAAGCAGGGTAGCAGAGAGAAGAAAGGCTCCTCAAACTTGGAATCTGAGATGGAGTCTGGGATGTTTATGCTCAAGTTCAGGCCTCTCACTTACTAACTTGGGACCTTGGATGATTCTTAGGATCTTAGTTCTCATCTTCTCAATCATAAAATAAGGATAATTACACTAACTTGTGGATGGAATACAAATAAAGGATGCGGGCCAGGGATTTAGCTCAGTGGTTCCACTGCTTGCCTTGCAAGCACAAGGACCCAAGTTCGATCTCTGGTACCCCCTCCCCCCCAAAAAAGGACGCAAAGTGGAACTTTATAAACTGCAAGTTCTACACAATTATAAGAGAAACATAACAGACAAAGAAGGACCCACAAGGAGCCCAACATGCCCTCTTCATTTAGGTTAGTACCTTGGGGTCGTCCTCCTTGCAGCTCTGTCTCCTCTGCTCCCTCAGGGCCTGGCTTTTCGGGGGCCTGGGTGGGGGTGCCTGGCTCTCACTGGCTGGTAACTTCCGAAGACTGTAGTAGAAGGTTTCAGACAGCTCCTCCACGGTGGCCACTGGGAGAGGCCCGGCTAGCTGGCCCTGCTGCCCTTTGGCCTCCACCACAGTCAGGTCCAGCCACCGGGGAGGGATCTCGAAGAACCTCCTGGGCTGGGAGTCCAGGCCCACCACCAAGAAGGGTTCTGTGATCTTCTCTTCCAGCCGCAGGCCCGCGAAGAAAACCAGAGGGTCAGCAGGGTGGCCGGTGTCCTTGGCCACTACCTTGACCTCACAGGGCAGTGACAACTGCTGAGTGAGATCTGCTAGGCTGTAGCGCCGGCCATCGTTCATCTCCTCCACGAAGCCGCAGGGGAGGTAGAGGGGCAGCAGAACCTGCTCTTGGTCCTCCTCCACCACTTCGTATTCTTCCTCCTCCTCCCCAGGCCCCTCGGTCAGCCGCACGCACATCAAGACATCTATGTCCTGGCCTTGGGTTCCGAGGATCTGGCCGGGTCCCAACACCTCCAGCCGGTCACCCACAGCCAGGGAAGCCAGCAAAGGGCTCTCGTCCCCTGCCTCACAGTCCTTGGTCACCACCACCCGGAGGGGCCGGCCAGGCTGCAGCGCACCCAGGAGGTCATAGGGTGTGGGGAACTCCCGGGGCCGCCGCCGCAGCCTGCCCTGGTAGGCCCCGGAGACTACGAAGTGTCGGGGCGCCTTCCGGCCCTTGCTGGAGGCCAGGACCCGCCATGGTGGCGAGGCCAGGCCGTAGATGCAGAGCCTCTGGCCCTTCCGCAGCGAGCCCACCCACGGGCTGAGTAGGATGGGGGGCCCCTCCGGAACTTCCAGGATCTCCGCGGGCAGGGGGAAGGGGCCTCCTCGGGCCAAGACCTCGCTCAGCAGCAGCGGTTTGATGAAGTGGACGTGCTGGGAGGTGGCACTGACGTCCTGTACCTCGACTTCCAGAGTGGAGGGGATCCTGACGATGGTCTTGCGCACTGTTGGGGGAGGGATCGGCTCAGGGGTGCATCACGCACTGGGGTGCCCCCCCACCGCCGACAGAGAACACTGGTCAGAGCAGGCTGGCCTCTTTCCTGGTTTTGTTTGACTCGATTGGTTTGCAGCACTCGGGGTTGAACTCAGGGCCTTCACACTTAGCTACATTCCCAGCGCTTTTTTACTTTTTTAATTTTGAGATGGTCTCTCAGTTCTCTGAGTTGCTCAGGTGGCTAAGCTTGAACCTGCAATTCTCCTACCTCAGCCTCCCAGGGGCTGTGACATGTGCCACAACGCTCAGCTCTTTTGTATTTTCATTTTTCTTTCCTTCCAATATTTTCCTATTGTGCTAGATTGTTTACTCACTCTTCCTTCCACTTCTTTTTTTTTTTTTTTTTTTTTTTAGTATATGTGCTGCCGAAATGAGGACTCCACTTTTTAAAAATATATATATATTTTTTTATACAGGTTTTTGATGTGTAGTTCAGGCTGGCCTCGAACTCAAAGTGATCCTCCTGCTTCAGGCTCCTGGGTGCTAGAATTACAGGTGTGCATCACCACAGCCAGCTAAAAATTATTTTTAAATATTCTTAAAATAGCATCCATGCATCCATCACCTAGCTTCGATTTAACTCATGGTCCATCTGCTTTCTTCTGCGGGCCTAACTTGTCCCCTCCCTCCACTGGAGATTCTGAAGCAGAATGATCACACCATCCCATGGGTAACTAGTTCAATGTGAAAGAAAGGATAATTTTAAAAAAGGAATAACCACAGTGTCATTACTGTGTTAATAATTATTCGATAATTCCTGAATACCACCACATATCCAATCAGTTCCACCACTTTAAAATTTTTAATTTAATTTTAAATGTAATTTCATTAACTGCTTTTCCAAACCCTTTCTGGGTTTAAATAGAAAGATAAAACTAAATCAAAAAAAACACTGACTAAATGATCTTGGGCCACTTCCTATCTGGTTATTGATTAAAATCTCAACTGGTGGCCCTAAAACACTATGAGGAAGCTGAGCATGGTGCGTGCCTGTAATTCCAACACTCTATAAGGCTGAGGCAGAAGGATCACAAGTTTCACCCCAGGCTCGGTGACTTAGTGAGACCCTCAAAATTAAAAAATAAATAAATAAAAAGAGCTGGGGATGTATCTCTGTGAGAAAGCGCTGGGTTCAAACCCCAGTACTATTAAAAAAGAAATACTATGAGGTAAAATAGCCTGATTTGCCTCACACCGCATGCAGGCAGGTCATGGAACTCTCCCCATTTCACAAATGACAGCATGGAGGCTGACAAGAGTGGTGACCTCCCTCAGACCACACGGCTGGGAATTTTGCTCAGTGCCAGAAGAGCAGACAATTGAAGCTGGGAGATGTTCACATGGAAGTTCATACTATTGTTCTGGTTTTTCTTCAAAACAGTTGAAGGATTGCCTCAGCTGCCTCATTTTCCAGAGCGGCCCCGGAGCCCCAGCCAGCCCGGAAGCCCTGACTTCCCAGATGTTGTGGTCTCCTGCTACCACTTCCCACAGAGAGGGTCCAGGGCACCGTGGGAAAGAGCTAACTTCAGTTCCTGGGGAGGAAATGTTCAGGAGGAACCTAGAACATGCTACACAGAGGGCAGGGATGCCTGCTCATGCCCACACAGTCCTGTCAAGAGGATTCAGGAACTCACATGAGAAGGCTCCCACTGGCCAAAGCTGAGATAATCTCAGCAACAATAAAAATAACATCAGTGGGTTCTAGCACACTGAAGACATTTCATGTGTGAGTTCAAAATGATTAAAAAAAAAAAATTCTACATTGTCTCCTGGAGAATCCTAAAAAGCCAATTTTTTTTAAATAGGTTCTTATCATGTAGCCCAGGCGGGCCTTCAACTCATGATTGTCCTGCCTCAACCTCCTGAGTGCTGGGATTATAGGCATGGACCCACACACCCAGTGCCAACTCACTATTTTAAAAGCTGGTAAACAAAGAATAGGTTGCTTCTTTTCCCTCAGGACAGGCTGGTGGCAGTGTACAGAACAGGGATAGAGAAACAGGCAGAACCCAGCCAAGGCTTGTGGGTCAGAGGCTAAGTCTGAGCAGAAATAGAATGGGTGTCTGGAGTACTACTCAGCCATAAAGAAGGATAAATGTGAATCATTTGTAGGAAAATAGATTAGTTTTAAAATCAAAATGCTAAGTGAAATAAATCAGACAAAAAGGTTAAACATCACGTAATTTCTCTAATATGAGAAACCCAAAATATAAATAATTTAAAGAGCAAAATAAAAGACAGATGGTAGATAACAGTGAGGGAGACTCTGGAGATGGGAGGGGGATCTGGAGAAGGTGGGAGAGGGAGGTCAGAGGGTGGGAAAGGGGAATAAAAATTAAGATGCAGTATGTGTATGTACCAACTCCCCAAGGTGAATGTAATTATTATGTATCACAAAAAATACTAATTTAAATTTAAAAAAATAACAGGTATCTGACTCTTACAAACAGAACATCCTGCATTAACTGTTATCCCAGAGTATACAAGGGGAAGTTTCAGTGGTAGGGTCCCAGCTAGTGAATGCAGTAGTGACAGCAGGACTAAAATACCACCACTGCAGTTCCTCAAGGAATAACAGATCGAGGCAGTCTTGTCAGCACTGCTTCCCTCATGGCTGGCCCATCATCCTGTCCAGTGATATGCACAGCCAACATGCCAAAGCTGGGCTCCGGGTTGCCAGGATGGATGGGAGGTTATACACCCAGCCAAGCGGGGATTCTCTTCCCCACACCTCACACAGCAGTGAAAAACTGCATCTTGCATTTGCTCCAACCTCGAGTCTAAGCGCCAGAGCCCAGATGTGCAGCACAGTGTTAACACAGCTGGCCTGAGTGTGCTCTCTCATCAACAGCCACTGCCAAAGCTGGCTCTGAGCTGGGATCCAGGAGCTTGGACTTCAGGAAGGTCCCCACCATTCCCTGAAAAGAATGTACCTAGCAGGTGTGGCAGGGATGCCTGTAATCACAGCACTCTGGGAGGCTGAGACAAGAGGATTACAAGTTTGAGGGCAGCCTAGGAAACTTAGCCACTTAGCGAGACCCTGCTTCAAAATAAAAAATAAAAAAGGGCTGTGGATGTCATTCAGTGTGAAGTCTCTGTCACACTGTATATACTGGGCAAGCAGCCTGAACCCCTACTATTCACAGAGCGGAGTATCTCCCACATCAGCAGCTCCAGCCCTCAGCCCCTCCCCAACACCAGGCACTCACTGTGCATGATGGCTTGGACCTCATACTCGGGCCTCAGGACCACAGAGTGCCATGGGAGGGCGGGGCAGGTGAGCGTGAGGTCCTTCAGGGCTGGGTCTTGCAGGACCTGGAGCAGGGTTTGGGGGACTCCAGGCTCCCATGTCCAGAAGGGCCCCTCCTGAGTCAGGGGCAGGTGCAGGACAACCTGCAGGCCCTTGGAGCCCAGGCTACAGCGTGCACAGTGGGTCCCGAGGTGCATTTCCACAGCCTCGAGCATGAGGGGCTGCTCTTCGGGCACTACCCCAGCCTTTGTGACAATGTTCCGAGTGGACATGAAGCAAAGGGGCAGCGGTGTGGCGCTCCGAGTTTTGGCAGAGACCAGCTCCTGCAGGGTCCTGTAGCTCTTCGGGGTGGAGAGGGGGCTGAAGTAGCCTGTGAGGTTCAGCAGAGAGTGGTAGAGTCAGGCCCGGACCCAGACTGGCCACCAACCAGAGTCCACAGGTGTCAAGGGACGTGCCAGCTGCAGGCAGAGGGACAGGGTACGAGTGGACAGTGAAGGGCAGGGGTGGTGACACCAGAGACACAGCCCCCAGAAGACACACAGGCACCTCTCATATCCTCCCACTTCTTGATCCTACCTGCCTCTAACTGCCAGCTTCTCATTCCTCCACTCATCTCGCCATAACTCCAGTCCTGCACACCTAGAACCTGCCACCTCCATCCCTCTCTCCCAAGCTAGAACCCCAGAAGCTATGGTCAGCCACCCTCTGGCCCCTCATCAGCCAGCACTGCCCCACTGCTCTCCCCGGACAGCCATTCTCCTGACACTGTACTGGCCTAAACAACGCTTCCCGATGCAGTGGTTTCCTTCCTTAAACCCACAACCCGAGTCCGATCAAAGAACCATCAAAAATCCTGGATTGAGGGACAGGCTACAGGAGCACTGGTCTGAGGACAGGTGTGGCTTGGTGGCACAGCACACACTTAGCATGTGAGAGGCGCTGGGTTCTAGCCCTAGCACCGCAAAAGAAAGTGCTGGTCTAGATTCTTCAAAAATGTTCATGTCAAGGCAAAGAAAGGCTGAAGAAATATTCTAGCCTGAAGGAAACTAAAGAAAGGAGAGCTGAACATAGTGTTGGACTCAGGGTCAAGAAAAATCCCACTGTAAAGGACAGCATTAGGGCAGTTGATGAAATCTGAATATAGACTGTGAGTTAGATAATAGTATCCCATCAAAACTATGTTTCCTGAATGTTTGAGATTTTGGGGTTTGTTTTTATTCTTGGTACGGGGGATCAAACTCAGGACCTTCCACTTGTGAGGCAGGCAGCAGAACCACTGAGCTAAATCCCCGGCCCCTGTTTTTGATTTTTTGAGACAGGGTCTCACTATGTGTAGTCTAGGCCGGCCTTGAACTCAATATGCAGCCCAGACTGGGCTTGTACTTGTGATCTTCCTGCCTCCTCGGCCTCCTAAGTGCTAGGATTACAGGTAAGTGCCACCATGCCTGCCAAATTTCCTGCATTTGATCAGTGAATTATGTGTAGTTTTTTGAGTGGCTGGCCTTGTGTTTAGGAGATGCACACTCTAGTTCCTGGGGTTAACATTTAAATGAAAAGAGGTACCATGTCTGCAATTTACTCTCAAATGGTTCAGAAAAAAAAGCGTGTGTGTGTGTGTGTGTGTGTGTGTGTGTGTGTGGATATGGTCCAAAAGGGTGAATATTTAATTTTTTAAAATTTATTAAAAATAAATCGCTATTAATTTCCCTCAAAATATTCCTACTTGCATCAAATACATTTATCCCATCATTTTTGCCACTTTCCAAAGCCATTCTGGAAGTGCTCTCTCATGAGTGTTGTGCTGTCCATGGCTACCTTGATGTTCTGAATCAGTTCAAAACATTTACTCTCATGGTCACTTTGATTTCGGAGAGGAACTAGCAGTCACAGGATAAGGCAGATGCAGACACTGCAATGTTTTATGACTCTGCCTGTCTGTTGGATGGCACTAGGGAGCAGTGTTCACTGTGTCTGATCACACCTCCTGAAGACCCTCTCAAAAGAGGACGCTCACGGGGCCGGGGATTTAGCTCAGTGGTTTCACTGCCTGTTGCACAAGTGCAAGGACCAGAGTTCAATCCCTGGTACCAAAAAAAAAAAAAAAGAGGATGCTCAGAACTGCTCCAGGAAGTTGCAAGAACGATGGGATAAATGTGTTTAGAGAAAGGAGGAGTATTTTGAGGGGATTAATGGCAATGGGCCTTACTGTAATCAAGTTTTTACAATTTAAACATTGTGTGTTTCTCTCACACCTGGTGTGTGTGTGTGTGTGTGTGTGTGTGTGTGTATATATATGTACAGAGAAGCTGGGCAGAGAAGGCAAACGTAATGAAGTTTTAACAACTGGTGAATCTGGAGGCTGGGTGTCCAGGAGTTCTAGAAAGTCTTCTGTAAATCTGAAATTATTGCAGAAGAAAAACAAAAACCTCAAAATACAAAATAAGACACCTCATTTGTGTCTTTTAAAACCTTGATGGCTACTCAGTGCCTTCAAAATAGATACCAAACTGTGTCAGCACCACACAGCCCCAGGCGGGCTGGCTCTCACTACCCACAGGCTGCTCCTCCCAGAGCCCTCTTGAAAGCTGGTGCTTACTTGGCCTCCTCTCACAGCCACCTGCACATGCCTGGCCCATGTGGAGCCCCATCGCACCAGACCTCACAGGACTGGGGACACATGGTGTCAGCAGATGTTAGGTGGGTGAATGTGTGAGCACACACAGAGACCGGCCCTGGACAGAGACCTGGAACACAGGCAGATGTGACCAGAGAGACCAACACAGAGAGGGTGCAACCTCACCAGGCTCAGGGTATTTGTCAGACCACTCTGAGGACATCCCTGGCCTCGAGGCTGCAAAGCTGGACAGGTAGGAGTGGATGCTGGGATCGGCAAGCCCTCTGAGCATTCCTGCAGGCTGCCTGGAGGTTGCCAGGCATATGGGGAGCAGGGGGCCTTCCTTACCCTGGAAGTTGGTGGGCAGCTCCAATGTCTGACCTGTGCCTGGGTTCTCACAGACCACCTTCTTCAGGCACACCTGGGTGACCTTCATCAGGTCTCCCGTGGACAGGCAGCACTCATTCCCACAGATCTCATAGACGGAGCCTGCGGAGACATGGACTCAGTTTCCCCATTTGGCAAGGGCCAAGCACCAAGGGACCTGTGCCCTGTTTCTGACAAGCTCTGCTCTGAACACATCCCCTGTGCGCTTCTCTGGCTGGTCCACCTCTGCACTCTGCAGCCAGCATAGGGCTCAGCCTCTGTTCTGAGAATCCCTAAATAACCCAGTGAACTTCAACTCCTTTACTACACAGTTATGAAATTATTCTCAGGCAGGGTCAGTGACTCCCTGCAAGTCACCCAGAGCCAGGTGGGGACCAGCACTCCTAAAGCCCTTTGCTTTCTCCTTCAGATGAGCCACTTTTAAAGGACTCACAGGCAGAAACAGAGGGCCCTGACAGGGTGCTGCCAGTGGGCAAGGTTCTGGCCACCACCTCTGGCCCAGCAGCCCATTTTCCTGATTTAAACAGTAGATGTTCAATAAAGATCTCTCACCAAGAAACTGCACAGGCTCCCTCCCCATCCAGCTGAAGGAGGACAGGAGACTATGGTGTCCTGCCTTGAGGTCACCTCACAACCCCCACCCCCACAGGGCAGCCTCTCTAGGGTCCCTCAAGTCCGCCCTGAGAAGCTGATGAAAACCTCACTTTACCCCCAGGAAAATGCACAGGTCTTATAAAGCACAGTTATGTCTACAACGCAGGATGTGGACCATCTGGTGGGTGAGTGCCACAGCTGCAGAGGTAGATATATATATAGATATATATATATGTACATATATATATATCTATATATATCTATATCTACATATAGATATATATACATACACACACACCTAGCTCAGTGCTAAATACTGCAGGTGCCTCATTGCCTTTACTACCCATGAGTGCCTTTGGGGGACAGACAATTTCCCTTTCCTAAATAATGACAGCAGTTTCTCTTTCTTAAAACTGACACAGCCTCAGAGGTTGAGTGAGTAGCCCAAGATGATCAAATAACAGAAGGCAGAACTGGGGGTCAAGCCCAGGGTGTTTGCCTCTAAAACTGGTGCTCCTGACCAGGTGACAACCCCCTTGGGGTGCCCGTGCCTGACCCTATTGCTATAGCCACCTGTCCTCCACTCACCCCATCTGCACACCCACAGCTGTCAGGTTCTTCTCTAATCATATCACCCCAACGTCTGCTGCTTGCCCCCACCCCATGTCAGGCAGAATGGGGAATCAGGTATTGTGACACTGGCAGGCAAGGGATGTCGATGCTGGGAGGACAGAAGGGCTTGGTCCTGGGCTGGGAGGAGAGAACTCAGGTCCCTGGCACCTGCCTGCAGGAAGCTCCCAGAGGTAGAGTCTGAGCCCAGATCCATGAAAATCCCAAGTGGACTTGGAGAGACACAATGTGAGGTGGAGGCCCCTCTGTGGCCCTCCAAGGGTCTCAGCCTTGGTCTAGGACCCACCTCAGGCTCACAGAACACTTTGCTTGAAGCTGCTGTAGCACAGCAAGTTTACTCCCTCCTGGAGAAGGATGGGCTGGGGTGAGCTGACAGGAAGGAGTCCGAAGGCATCCACAGGGCAGCCCTGGCCCCCACTCCCCTCCCTACCCCTCTCCCTCCCACTGCGTCTCAACCCCTGGCTCTTGCTCTAGTGACTAGGGTCGGCGCCCCTGCAACTTAATCATCTCTGCTGTGATAGGTGGGCTGTGGGCAGGGAGCAAATGTGCTGGGGGAGCAAGGAGCAGCGAGCAGGGAAAGCTTCCAGAGGAAGGGTCATTAAGCTGAGAAGTGAAGATCTGGCCCGATCAAGTGCGGCCTGGTCTAGCAGAGGGCCAAGGAGGGAGAAGGGCGACAGGGGAGGGAAGTAGGGAGGAGAGAGGAGGGGAGGGGAGAGGAAAGAAGGAAGGAAGGAAGCAAGCAAGCAAGCAAGCAAGAAAGAAAGGAGAGAACAGAAGAGAGGGGAGGAGAGGGGAACGGAGGGAATCAAGCCACAGCAAGTTTCGCCTTCCCGGGGCGCTGGTCCCCCAGTCTTGGGCGCTGCCCTCGCCGCCTCCGGTCCCTGCAGTGGGCGGCCAGCGGGCCCCGTCCACGGATGGAAAAACTGAGGTCCAGGGCCGGGGATTTAGCTCAATGGTTCCGCCGCCTGACTCGCAAGCACAAGGTCCTAAGTTCGATCCCCGGTACCAAACAAAACAAAACAAAACAAAACAAAAAACCGAGGTCCCGAGGAGCTGGCCGCGGCCCGGACTTGCACAGCTAGGCGGTGAATGGCTCCAGGTCCCAAGGCCCGGCCCGCACGGGAGGCTGCTCCCGCTCACCCTCGGAGTAGACTCCGGAGTAGACCCGCAGCACGCGCGGCAGGGAGGCGGGGTCCAGGCGGCGCGCGAAGTCCTGCAGCAACACCGGCTCCATGGTCACAGCGGCTCGGCTTGCTCTGCGCGGACCGAGCGGCCCGGAGCCCGGCAGCCCCGCCCCCAAAGCCACGCCCTCCCAGCCAAGCCACGCCCAAGGGAGGGTCGGTGAGAACCGGGCCCCCTAAACCTGGCCCTCTTGGGTAAGGCGCGTCCATCTCCTTGCGTCAGTTTCCTCATCACTGAAGTTATATGAACTTAGGCAAACAGCTTTGGTTTTCTGAACCTCAAGGTTCATCTGTAAATATGGGAATCTTTTCCTAGCTGTTTGTGAGGGTTAAATGAGATGATTCAGTTATTGTCAAAATGCTTTAATTTGTAGTCACTATAAAAGACTTCTACTCAGCCATAATAAAAGTTTAAAATACAAGGCATAAATTCTACTTAAGGAACATTTGACCAAAAAAAAGGGTAGTCTTTTCCACAAACCAAACATATTTACTACTACTAACATTTTGTTGTTCTTTCTAGTCTTTATTCTGTCTGTAAATTTTTTTCAATTTTCAATCTACAGCAAAGTTGCAAAAATTGTAGCGTTTTGCAACTATCATTTATGTAGTTTCTGATGCCCTTAATGTTGCCAATTCACATTACCATGATGCACCGTTAAAGCTAAGAAATCATCTTGGGACATTACTATAACTAAACCACAGGGCTTGTTTGATTTTCTGTGTAGTTTTTCTGCTTCAGAAATTTAGTCATTCGGGCCTGGGATTTAGCTCAGTGGTTTCGCCACCTGCCTGACAAGCTCAAGGATCTGAGTTCGATCCCCGGTACCAAAAAAAAATTAAAAAATAAAAAGAAATTTAGTCATCATGGCTCCTGTCTTGTGTGTTTTTGTTTTCCATGGTTCTTCTTCTGACTTTGACGATCTCGAGGACTACTGGACAGGTACTTCACAGAATGTCCCTCGGTTCTGGTTTGTCTGATTTTTTTTTCTCATAACTAAACTGGGATTATGGATTTTATGGGACATCCTGCAAAACTGAAGTATCTTCTGCGTCACGCCACACTGGGGAGCACAGTACATCCACACGTCACTGTTGATGTGTTAAGCTGTTTGCTTGTTAAGCTGGCGTTTCAAGGTTTCTCCACATTAAAGTTGTGGCGGTCCCTTTCCAGTCTCTCATCTTTGGAAACAAGTGGCTGAAAGCAGCTCACCCTCGTGGGAACTAAGCTTCACTTCCTGGCGGAGGAGCATCTAATAAGTTAACTAGAATTCTCTAAGAAAGAGTTGTCTCTCCTCCCCCATTTATTTATCCATTCATTCACTTAATTATTTATTCAGGTCAGTATAGCATTGTGTATTTATTTTAAACTTTGATTAATAATCTAAAACTACATTATTTATTTTGTGGCACTAATTTCCAGCTTTGGGAGTCCCTTCAGGGTGACTCCAGGACCCTCTGATTTTGTTTTGTTTTGTTGTTTTTTTGTGCACTTTCTTACTCTCTAGTGCTACAAGATGCACCAGGCTCATCTGGACCATTCCTGCCCCAGTCATTTCTCCCAAGAGCCCTAATTCCTTATATTGGAGAATGGTGTCTAAAAAGCCCCCCTGAATGGGAACTTTCAACAGAAAATTCCAAATCCTCCATTTCTCTTATCTCATGAGCATTTTCCCACATGCTAGAAAAAGTGGACTGACCAAAATTAATCAAACACATACTCCAAAAATTGTAGTTATAGGCCAGACATGATGGTGCACACCTGTAATCCTAGCTACTTGGGAAGCTGTAGCAGGACGATCACAAGTTTTTGGTTTTTGGGTTTTTTTTTTAAAGTTTCTTTGAGACAGGGTCTCACTATGTGGCTTAGGCTGGCCTTGAACTCACTATGAACTTGAGGCGATCCTCCTGCCTCAGCCTCCCAAGTGCTGAGATTACAGGCATGCGCCACCATACCCAGCCTAGGAGGATCACAAGTTTAATAAGCCCAGCCTGGGCAACATAGCAAGACTCTGTTTCAGACAGAAGTAAAAGATCTTTAGCTCAGTGCTGAAGGACTTGCCTAGCATGTACAAGGTCCTGGATTCAATCCTAGCACCATGTTAAAAAATAACAGCAATAGTAATAATATGTGGTCATATATTTATTTGTGTGGCTATTTGCTTTTGTCTCTTTAGCAGTTAGTTGGCTCCCAGTGGGCAGAGACCAGGACACACATCTTGCCCCCAGTGTATCATAGGGCCCCCCACATAGTAGGTGGACGATAAACCAATGCTATTGGCAACTGACGGAATGAATGGGTGGAATTTCTGGGTCAAGGAGGTACTTGTTTTCACAGCCCTAAGAGCACGTTTCAGTCATGATGAAAGATCACTGAAGCCTCTAATGGACCCCATGAAATAAAGCAGGGGAAGGACTTTGCAAGAGCCCATAGCAAGGGCACACAGAGGCATGCAGATGGGCAGGGCCCAAGGGGGTGTCAAGCAAGGGTGATAGGTGGAGGGGGCATTTCTGGTGCCAGCAACATCAGTGGGTGTGGGCCATTGAGCACCTGCCTCAGGCAGGCCCTGTACAGCCACTGCTGCTTACCACGCCCTACACAAGAGCAAGTCAGTGAGATGAGAAAACTGAGCCGCAGGAAAGAGGGTTTGCATAAGGCATGCAAAGTAGAGATGCTAAGATTGAAACCCAGCTCTGCCAGGGTTCTCCCACAGGCCAGAGAAAATGACAATTCATCATCTCTTCCCCGTGTGTTTCAGCAGACTGTGGAACCCGCAGCGGATTTCTGCTTACCCCAGTTTTGCCAGGAATTACAGTAGAGGATGAAGATAGGCCCGGGAATTTAGCTCAGTGGCTCCGCCGCCTGCCTCGCAAGCGAAAGGTCCCGAGGATGAAGATAAAAAAGGACAGGCTTTGGTGATGCTCCACCACCTCTTAGCTGTGTCACCTTGGGCCAGTTCCTCAACCTCTCTGGGCCGCATTCCCTTCTGTACAATGAAGATAGGCAGGACCTGGGGGTGTTGGTGAAAATGGTAGTGTTAACACTGACACACAGGAGCACGCCAACTGCCCAGCATCTGTCATTATGCTATTTCCCAAGGGTTTCCGGTGACTCTGATGCTTCTCAGACACGGTCTCATCAACTTTGCTTCTCCCAACAACCCACTGCCTATTTTAGGAAATAAGACTGAGCAGGAAACTGTCTTCTTTGCAGTTGCACAACACAGAAATGGAGAAACATAAAACCTCACATATTCTGGAAACAATGGCGAAAGTGCATCTTTGGTCTTTTATCTCTTTTCTAGACTTTTCCCTAACCCGGTTTGAGAGCTTTTATATTAACAAAGTCAGGGGCTGGGGATTTAGCTCAGTGGTTCCGCCACCTGCCTCGAAAGCCCAAGGTCCCGAGTTCAATCCCCAGTACCAAAAAAAAAAAAAACACACAAAAAAACAAAGGCGAAACCATGGTGCAGATCCTCCGGAGGGGTACCGCCCCTCCACCCCGTAGATGTTCGCTGGGGGCGCCGGTCACCTTGGGCAGGAGCCGTTCACTGAGCAGGCGCCGAGTCCAGCTCGAGGTGGGCGTGTCTGGTTGCTGGCCTCGCCCCATTAGCGCACCCACGCCCTCCCAGCTCTGTGAAGGGGGTGCAGTAGAGGACCCTTCCCCGCCTGGGGCAGGGTGGAAGGTGGGGGCAGGAAGGAGAAGGGGAGGGGTAAGACGAGGAGGCCAAGCGAAGAGAGGTGTGGAGGATCTGAAAAGCGTCCCTGTCTAGCCTCAGGCCCACGGAGCAGACGTGGGGGTGGTCCTCAGGCCCTGGTGAACAGAGGGAAAATCTGAGCGAACTCTCCAGACTTAACTTGTTTCACCTGCTCTTAGTTACTTGCTTTCTACATTTTTTTTCCATTTTGCATTTTGCATTGCTAGGGATAGAGCCCAGGGCTTCCCACACTCAAAATCCTTGCCCTACCACTGAGCTACACCCCCAGCAGTTGCTTTAAAGCGCCAACTTTGGAGGTACAGGTAGTGGTCCCGTGGGTGGGCCATGTGGTAACAGTTGATGAGGTTTGATCGATCATGCCCGCTCAGACCCCTGATTGCTTGCTAACCTCCAACCCCCTTTCCCCACCCCTTGGCCCGTGAGTGGCCTCAAACCCTGTCCTCGGGAGGTGGAATGAGACTTGCTCTCTGTCTCTACACTTGCCTGCCTCACCTTGTAAATAAATTCTTTTCTCTTATTGCAAAACTCAGCTCATCTCTCCCGTGATTGGCATGAATCGGTCTGGTCAGTAACAAGGAAGGCCCAACAAGGAGGGCTCCTCTTGGATCTGGGAGGCCCTGAGCTGCTGAGAAGGGAGGGGCGGAGCTGCTCTGGCCTGGGGACTGCAGGAGGGGCAGAGGAACCCTGATGGAAACCTGTGAACTTGGGCCTGAGGAAGTCAGTTACAGAGAAGGGGGGGGGGGGCGTTTTCCTTCCCTTTTTTACAGTGCCAGGAATCTAATTAGGCCCTCCTGCAGGCTATGCAAATCCCCCCCC